AATTGTAAGGTAAATGACGTTGTACATAACTTGATCTTTTTGTCCGCACTTGTCTCTCTTAGGTTGTAACATTTCCATTAGTTAAAACGCTTTCATAGCATATATTCGTCAATTTAACAAACTCAACGAATTCAACCAGGAATAATTTGTGACAGCAATATCTACTGATTTTCGTCCCCTTTATGATTGCTGGAGGTTGAGCTTCAAGGACGGGTTTGCTTTCCATATGTTTCTTAACGCTGATGCTATTTTTAAGCACCATCCTTTTTCTTTAATTTGTAGCATTCACCAGAATTTTTACTATATCCAATTCAAATTGCTAGTGTAAAACATAAAACTGTCACATTGCTCCATAGAACTCTCATTGCTAAACATGATATATATGACAATACTAAACTTTTTGTTGAATAGATTCCAGACTGCACTCTGAGCAGTTTTCACCATCTCATTCATTGTTTTTGGTTGGTCACGTATTCATGTTCTGTAGCTTTGTTCTATCTTCCAAGAGTTACTTTTTATTCAATAATATCCTGTCGCAACGGTGGATCTTGACGTAATCTACAGTGGCTGGTACATGTTGATATCATGAAATTGCTTTCAAGTTTCCGCCTTCCCTTTTCTTTTGAGAAAGAATATTGATGATGCTCTACATTACGAATTTGGAGAAATAAGGTTAAGTAAAGAAAAAGGGAGAAGAAATGGCCCAAACTTTCTTGCCCAACCTCATCTCTGTGGACTGTTGCTAACACTTTACCTTGTTTGTTCTGTAGCTTATATAAGCCTGGATGAGCATGGAGAGGCCAGAAGGGCCATTAATGCACTGGTCACTGGTCAATCGCAAGAACGATTGTGACACTCTGCCTCATGGATTTAAGTGGAAGCAATCATAGCCATACCAGACGTAGATTATTGCTTGGTTTGTCCTCTCCAAGATGTTTACAGAAATCCCAAGGCTGGCCAACATTCTGACTTGCCAGTGGGCGTTGAGCTGCTTGATGACTGTACCTACTGCTTTGCAGAGGAATGCCAAGTTACTAATGCCATCCAGCTAAATTTTCACATCAATAGGTAAAATATCGAACCTCATCATTTCGTTATAAAATGCAATCTTAGTATCCGCACCTGTGAATTATCTTTCAGAGAGAGCCACATCATATAGCAGAGAAAACGTTAGGTGTATGACAGTATTTACGATACCGAAGCCTTAATATTTTCGCACATTGGATTTCTCATTTTATATTCGCGTTGTGCCGCCATTGGGTGATAAGGGCACTTGAGGAGTGTCAAGTGCATATAACTAGTTGACAACTGGTAGAAACTAGGGTTCTATCCGGTCTAGGGCGTAGCCTGTAAGGGAAGGAGGGAGGAGGGAGGAGGAGATTGCGCGGCGGCCGGCGGCTGGGCGCCGTCCTTGCGGCTGGTGCGACGGCGGCGGACGCAAGAGGCGGCTAGGGTTTAGGTCTCCCGGCTCCCTAAGGGAAGCCGAGCAAATATTGATTGCTTCTTGCTTGATTAGATTGATACATCTCCTCTCCTTATATAGAGAGGTTTACTTGACTCCTAAGCAAACGATCCTAATACGATAAGATAATTGGGCTAAGCCCCTAATAATGATTAAGATACTTGGGCCATAACCCACTTGGCTAAGCCCCTAATATGCTGGTCATAACACTTCTCCCCGCCTGCACAAACAGCTTGTCCTCGAGCTGTAAGGTGGGGAAGCGCTTGCTGAACTCCTCGAGGTGATCAACCAACGTCAAACACCTTCGTGACAGCTGGGGCGGCAAGGTCGGCGGCGACGACGTCCTCCGGAATGTAGTCTGCAACCTCCAGGTAGAAGAGTCGTGGGCAGGCGTGGCCGGGCGTGTAGGGCTCGTCGCAGTTGAAGCACAACCCTTGGCGGCGACGCTCGAGTAGCTCGACCGAGGTGAGCCGGCGGAACGGGCGCGCCGCGGTCGCGGCGAGGGGTGCCGCGGAAGCCTGAGCAGGCCGACCCTGAGTGGGATCTGGCCAGGGTAGCGACCCAGTGGCCCGGGACGGTGACTCCTGCTGGACGGCCACCGTGCGGCGCTCGAACGCGCGGGCGTAGTACATGGCCGTCTGGAGATCCTGGGGTCCCCGAAGCTCCACGTCCACGCGAATGTGATCCGGAAGTCCACCGACAAAGAGGTCGGCCCGCTGCTGCGCCGTCACGCCGGACGCGTGGCATGCCAGGGCCTGGAAACGGTCGGCGAAGTCCTGAACCGTGGAGGTGAAGGGAAGGCGGCCTAGCTCTGCTAGGCGGCTCCCGCGGATCGGGGGCCCAAAACGGAGGCAGAGCTTGCGGAAGCGCTCCCAAGGGGGTGCCCTCGTCCTGCTCAAGGGTGTAGTACCAGGTCTGTGCCGCGCCACGGAGGTGGTAAGAGGCGAGCCAGGTGCGCTCCGAGGCGAGGGTGCACTGCCCGCGAAAGAACTGGTCGCACTGGTTGAGCCAGTTGAGGGGGTCCTTCGTGCCGTCATAGGTGGCGAAGTCGATCTTGGCGAACCGCGGCGGTGTCTGGGTCGGAGTGCCGTGTTGAGCTGGCTCGGAGGTGCGGAGCAGCGAGGCGGGTGGCGCCTGGTCGGAGTACTCCGGGTAGGGACCCGCGGAGCCGGATGGCCCGCCGAACTGCGGAAACGGGGTCGGCTGCTCTGGAGCCGTGGTGTAGACTGGCGATGGCGAAGACCCAGCCGCCCAAGCTGGTAGTGGCGACGGGGAGGGCGGGAACCAGACTTGGTGTATCGGCAGGCCGGCCGGTGACGGCAGTCCGGAGCTGGGCAGAGGTGGTGCCTGGAGTTGCAGCGGCTGCTGTGGAGAGTGGGCGGACGCGGCGGTAGCCGCGGTGGCAGTAGGGGGCCACTGCGGCCAGAGGGGAGCCGCGGCTGGGGGTGGCTGCAGGTGCAGCAGCGGTGGTGGCAGCCCGCTGTGGTGCCCCGCCTGGAACGGCAGCAACAGTGTCCCGCCAATTGCAGGCGCGCCCTGGGACGGCCACGGCAGCCAGAGCTGGGCTGCGGCTGAGGGCGGCTGTAGGTGCAGCAGCGATGGGGGCCCGCTGGTGTGTCCCGCCTGGAACGGCAGCAGGGGCGTCCTGCTCGGGCCAGACGTGTTCTGGATCGGCCAGTGCAGCGCCGGATGGCTGTAGGTGGGGGGCGAAGCCGGCGGGGTGGCGTGCGGGCCGGCCAGGTACAGGGTGATGCCCTGGACGGCCGTCATGAGGTCCCGCAAGGTGCTGGACATCTCCTCCGGCGTGAAGACGGGGATCGTTGACGGCGGCGCGGAGGTGATTGGGGCCGGCGGTGTTGGGGACCCGGCCGTGGTCATCGGGGCGGTGGTGATGATGGGCAGCGGCGGCGTGGGTGGGGATGACGACATGATCGAACCTGAGTCTCTGGATACCAAATTGGTAGAAACTAGGGTTCTATCCGGTCTAGGGCGTAGCCTGTAAGGGAAGGAGGGAGGAGGGAGGAGGAGATTGCGCGGCGGCCGGCGGCTGGGCGCCGTCCTTGCGGCTGGTGCGACGGCGGCGGACGCAAGAGGCGGCTAGGGTTTACGTCTCCCGGCTCCCTAAGGGAAGCCGAGCAAATATTGATTGCTTCTTGCTTGATTAGATTGATACATCTCCTCTCCTTATATAGAGAGGTTTACTTGACTCCTAAGCAAACGATCCTAATACGATAAGATAATTGGGCTAAGCCCCTAATAATGATTAAGATACTTGGGCCATAACCCACTTGGCTAAGCCCCTAATATGCTGGTCATAACAACAACAGACTTAAACAGCCGTCATAGAGAGTCTAGACAACTGTGACTTGAAGTAGTCAGTGCTAGGTGAAGATGGGTACCTGATAGGGTAGGAATAGGCCTCAAATAGCTTGTCAAAAGGAAAAAAAAATCCACAACATGATTTTAAGAACTATGATACTTAGCTTAATTCATGTCTAGTTTAAAGAGGAGAAGATGCAATATGATCCCTATAATATGAATGACTTGACTTGACTCTTGAGAATATCTAACATAAATGAAACAATCTACCAAAGACATCCAAACTAACAAAATCAAAGCAATGGCCAGTGCTATGGGATCAGCGGATGTGCTCTTCGATGCCTTTGTCAGTGAAGAATTTCTCCCTTGCACACTCTCGTTCTGTAATTTCCTGAGGTTTTTGTTTACCTGATGAATGGGGGTTATGTTGTGAAAATGTTGAGTTTCATGACTCTTTTTCTTCTTTAAGTTCTCTGTATTGTAAGCTGGTATCCCCAGCCTGAACCTTGTCAGACTGTTTGCTTTCTATAAAGCAGGGCGCCAAGCCTTTTCTCTGTAAAAACTAAGAAACTCAATCTAATCCCCCGCATGAATAGTAAGTACTGCACAAATACCTGGTGCTATAGTACCTTGTGCTTAATAAGAAGAACAAAATCAATTCAGATCGAGCACACTTCAATTTAGAAAATTGGATCACCATCTCCCATTTGGGGATGTGGCTCGAGCTAATATATGCCTTAAACATTGCATCTTATGATAACTTCTTAGTTAAATTTGTGCGCTGCTGCATATGTCCAATCATATGTATTTTCTTGCGGATGACACTACCATCTGTATTTGATTATAGTCTAGTCGACATTGCTGCCTCTGTCTGGCTTGGCCTTTAGTTTCCGTGAAATCTGAAAATTGTAAATTTGAGTTTAGAGTTAGGTCTCACTTTTGTGGAAGACTTTGCTGTAAGGAAAGTCCAATAAGGGAGAGAGCAGAAATATAAGTTGCACAGGAACAACCAGTTCGCTGAAGGCAATAGTACATTACTATCATACAACCATCACTTCTATACAAAGCTAGCCAGGTCATGGACACACACACACACTACACCATCATAATACTGAGATATCTGGCAATAGCTGTCAGAGAGCCAAAATTTTGGGGACGATTCTTATATCTAACTAATCCCCATCATACAGATTGCCTGCAACTCAAGCAGTCATCCCTCTTATTTTCCTTTGCTGCCATTGCCGCTTTCGTCATCATCAACATGGAAGAGCTCCAGGCGGCTGTGGCTTAGGCGGAGTGAGTACATTGCTGTCTTGTACTCGGCCCAGGTGAATGACCGGTACCGGGGTGGTGAGTCGGCTGTGACCATCTCTGGGAGCGCCGAAATTCGTGCATGCAGTGGTGGGGCTGCAAAGTAGATGGTGGACAGCCTTGGCCTGCAGGCACTTGCAATTACTCTGTGCCGGACGCTTACTAACCTCCCATTTGTCAGAGCCTGAAAAGTACAAGGCAGATGAGAAGATAAGACAAAACAAATCATCAAAGAATAGTGATTTGTGCTGTTAGGCTAACTTACACAGCTTCAGATGTGACTTTTTTGGGTGACAACTGGTAAGAGGGTACTTGAGGAAATCCAGTAGTGGGTTTTAAAATAAGCAAAATATCATGTTGGAGTGTCTTGGTAAACTAGTTTTGAACATGAGTGTCCAATCAGACAGTCTTATGTACATGAAAGGATTAAGTGCAGATCATTTTTACATGTTTTCTGTAGTATAAGTAATCTGTTCATATGAGCCGCTGGAAAGAAATTGCTTAACTTCTAAATCGTATGTGAGTATTTATGGTTGGTCCCAGATCAATGCCTTTAACAGTTTGTTTACCTTTCTTTAACAGTTCCTATAAGCATAGTTTTTCTTGTAATTAAAAATATATCTAATGATGTTCCTCTTACTCAGATTAAATGATGTGACTACCTGAAGGAGATCACCAACATTGACGAAATAGGCCGACGAGTCTGCTGGCACCTGAATCCACGTGTCCTTGCCGTTGATGTCCGGCAGAAGCACCTGCAAGCCATCAACGTCGTTTGCTCGGAGCAAGCTAAGTAGCTGTGGGTCAGAGTGCTCACCGAACCCGATCCGGCCACCCGCCGCCGGATTCCCACCGCTACCAGCCTTGGTCCTGGCAACCCCCTTGAGCTTGCATTGGTCATCATGGTCAAGCTTGTGAACGGTGCATGATGGAGGGTAGTGGTTGATCCTCAGGAGGGAGTCACTGTCAGTTTCTGTGATGAGCTTGCTGAAGAGCCTGGGGTCCTCCAGCCCTAGCCCCTCTCCCAACAGGTCCAGGATGTCACATGCAAGCTGCTTCACTGCTTCCACATACTCATTCACAACAGAACTGCAAGAAAGTGGGAGGAGGGGATTTCAACATGTGAGTCAAATCAAACACCTGGTTAAATATTTTTATCAAAAAGAGTGATGTCACAGGATCAGGTGCGCGCATGTGCCATGGCAAGTATACTAGAAAGAAAGAGAAAGATGGAGAAGATTTTGACCGATTGATGCATGAGCACTCAAAAGCTGCATCCCTTGCCTGCCTGCATCCACACACATGCTATATTCGTTTCTTTGTAGTCGAGATGCAGCTGGGGGTGACAAAATTTCCAGTGGGCAAATGGGTTCTTGACAGGATTGGTCATGCCCTTTCCCACTGCTCCACGGAAAGACCCATCGGTGCTGGGATCATATATCACTTCCCTGCCAGTGCCACAACACAAGCTCTCGAACATTTCATTTATGTTACCATAAAAAGGACCCCTTTGCATCTGTGCCTCCTTTCTTTTGCTTGGCTTTATATGGATAGCATGGATATGCTCTTTATGGGTGGCTTGGGGACCATTTTTATTCCCATCAGACCTTTGTACTTCAACTGGGGCCCCCCTCTCCTTTTATTTGATGACAAAAGGAGGTTATTCTGTTTTCCAAGAAAAAAAATATACAGTGTATGTATACACCGGGTACATGCATATACATCATTGTCTATACGAAAAAACTTGATGTACTTTGCTAATTAAGCCCACAGAGCTATCTGGTAGATATGGATGGTTCAACTTTCTTGTACTCCCATTCTATTGCTGCACCAGTTGGTGGTTGGATATTGCCATTAATTGGAGGCCACTGCAGCATATATGTGTCAGATTAGTTGATACACAGATATACACAGTCTGTTGGAGAGGGGCCTGAGAGGGTCCTTCTAGCTAACTACTACCCAAGAGAGTGTTTTATTATCCCTTTCATCTTATTTTGCTCTCAACAAACTCTGATTAGGCCACTTTCTGATATGGGTAGTGAGTGCTACACTCATAGTACTTCATAAATGACCTTTCGTATTCAGCGTATATACGCGCAAACATAGTTAAGAAGATCTTATCTGTTATGTTCAGTCAGTTGTAGCTTAACATCTGTGAGCATTTTCTCCCATCACCAGGGACAAATGTATCTTTCCAAGGCAGAAATTGCTGAGTCAAATTTCTTAGCTAAGATTTAAAATGACCGATTTTCCTGTGTTTTCCTTTTCCTATGTTTGTATAGGGTTAGACAACTCTAGCCTAACTTTCATGAGGAAATCTCTCATGCCCATCCTGCGTAGCTATCAAGTTTGTTGTGTCACATCAATTGTATGCTTTTATTTTGCTTTAGAAACTAGCTATGTTGATCTTAATCGCCGGAACCAACTTATCATTGGCCTGCCTAGCACAGCATCAATTATGCCATTATTGCAAAATAATTATTGTTTCGGAAACTATGTGCTCATGCATTCCCACGATTTAATCGATGGGACCTATCTGAAATGATACATATGTGTGCATATTGATGTTAATTCTGTCATGAACTGAAAACATAAAAATAGAGAAACTAATAGGCATATATGGTAGCACAAAGTATATATAAATTAGTCCCACAATAACATTAGCTACATCTCCCCGCAAAAAAAACATTAGCTACATCTGTTTGGAGTTAAAATATTATTTTGTATTCATTCAACAACTGTCCACGTGGTGATATATATTTTCGATTTATACATTAGCTACTTCTCTCACTTTGGCTTGAATTATATTTTTTCTATCTATACATGTAACTTTTTTCGTCCTTGAAAGAATCTGTGCGTAACATGTAGTGCATCACAACACGGCAAAACAAGAAGTAGCCAGGCCCTTTCAAAAAAAGAAGCAGCTAGGCAAAGCTCAGCTTTGCAACACGAGTGTGCATGCATGCATGATTCCAACATTGGCTTCTTTTTTGCCTGTGTGCACAAGACAGCATTGTACCGAGCAGAAAGTCCTCTGTGCATGCACGCCCTTGCTACTTGTGTACACACAGGCCATGCCCTAGCTAGCCAGTCCTGCCTCACAAATAAATCGGTCCATGCCTGACGCCCACATATATCACCTCTCTAGGCCGGCCCCACATGTCGGTCTGGAATTAACAAAGGTTGACTGTAACCATATCTTCCAAATCTATTAGGGGATAGCTAGCTAGCTAACCTCATAACCAATATGCAAATGGGGCAGGCCCAGGATTATTATTATTATGATAAGCAAACCACATCACATTCACACCAACATCAGCATAGTCATGAGTTGGTTAAGTGGCACTGCTGCTAGCTATATGCAGCCTCTAGCTTTGGATGTTGATCATGTCACATCTGACGCCTCGGGCGCCATCAACGCATGTATAAACGCCCATCTACACATCGGCTTGTCGACGTCTTGAGCTTTGAAACCCTCTGGACCTAATGTGATAATTAATGGCGGTGGAGCGACGCACTTCAGTGGTGTATAGGAAACCGAAAGTGACACTGTCTTTCTCTCTCTCTCTAACGCCTCGAGCTGATTAGACTGTTATGTAGTAAAACCGTGCTTTTGCCACGAGGCCCTAGTGTCACTGGCAGGTGGGCCTGAATACAGCACTAGTATGTTTCATGTTTGAAGGTTTTGTTAATGCTTGCAGGATTAAGAAACCCTTAGAACGTTAGGCAGATGTATAATGATGCTTCACTGATGTGGTATGTGTGTGCCTTGTGCGTAAGCATGTACTCCTCTGTACACTAATATAAGACGTTTTTGCAGTTACAAGTACAGTACTTATTATATATAGAAAGACATATATACGTATGTATGTGTGTATGTACCTGAAGCGTGAGGGGTCGTTGGTGTCGATGGAGCTGGCCCTGTGCGCGACGGCGGCGGGGTTGGCGTGGAGGAGGAGGTACTCGAGCTCGCCCACGTCGCCGTTGAAGCCGATGCTGCGGCAGCCGTAGCCGAGCGGGCTCGGCGGGCCGGCGCGCTGCTTGTCGTGTGCCGCGAGCGCGAAGAACGCCGAGGTGGCGGCGTCCAGCCGTGCCGCGGGTCCCGCCGGAGGCACGCCGTGGTTGACGGCACGGAAGAAGCCTTGCTCCGTGCACGCACGCGCCACCTGCCGCGACAGCGCGCCGCGGCCGCGGGGTGCGGACATGTCAACCGTCGGTATGGCGCCGCCGCCGGGGCACGGCGGTGGAAGCAGCATGGTCGCCGTCTCTTGCCGCGCCGACGTCGTGGAAGGCACCACCATCGCGTTGGCTCAGCGGACGGTCGCTTCACGTGCGTATACAATGCGTCGAATTGTGGAGAGAGAGAGAGAGAGAGTATGCGCCGTATGCGCCCGCGCGTGTGTGTGGGAGTGTTTTTTTAGAGAGAGGGAGTGTGTGTGCTGGGTGATGGACACTATGATCGAGCTGGGAGTTGTGT